TTAAAATCACATTTAATCTGAAAAAGTTAGATAACAGATCTAACAGATCACAGATCAGGGTTATTATAGTTTACTAAAACCATCAATAAATGTATTAAATAAAATAAGTGTTGCCTGAAATAATATCAAACATTAAAAAACGTCTTTCAGATGATTGCCAAGACAATACATCTCATTTTTATTAAGATTAACCTGAACTAAAATACCTAAAACTTAAATAAAATTACTTATTTTTTTATTTTAAAATTATTTCTATATAGACTAAATAAATGAAAAAGGCACAATATAAAAATAAAAACTTATTTGTAATAGAATTCATATTTCATAATCTTTAAGAGTATGATATAATAAGAAGCTTATTATGAATGTTTTTCATTTATTATCTGACTCCGCTCATGTTCGCAGACGGTTTAATCGGTCCATTACTGTCACTCTCGCCATTAAACCTCATGTAATGTTCGACCGCAGCATTAGACTGCTGTTTATCAGTGCTGGGGAAAGTTACTTTTAAAAGTAATGCGTTACCCCCCAACACTGGTCCTGGGCTCTTTGAGTTGATTCTCTTGTTCCATTGGGCTTCCTCTGTGTTGATGGTGAATGCATGGATGAATCATGGAGCTCTGCTGTGCTTGTGAATCTGAGCCGGCCTCAGCAGGATTAGCTCTAATCTGATGCTCCCACGTTCATTCGCTGCTTTAATCTGACGCTCCACAACAACAGTCCGCCTCATTCGCCTCAGACTGTAACCTGTCCACAAACCAGCTGTCTGCGATCACACCTCAACACCACAAACAGAAGAGACGTTACAGAAGATCAGAGATATTAAGGCTGCATCAGTCAGCCCTCACTTTTGGACGGATTTATGTTGCTCTTTTAGCTGCACTACAGCTCTGACAGAAATTATATTTCAGACATTTAAGCATTTTTATAATAAAATGGCCGAGTCATATTTTCATTTAAAGTTATTGTATGTGTCCTAAATGCACCCAAATAAATCATTTTTGCGTCATTTGACAAAATTACAGCTTGGTTAGAAATAAATGCAATACAAATATTCCATTGACTGGTGATTTTTACCTTTTAGATTTTTCTTTGTATATTCATGTGTTTCATATCAAGCTCTAACATAATAAACAATCAAAAACCATAAAATGCATTTGAAAAGTATGGCTAAAGCATGCAGGTAAAACAGTTTACACTGACGTTCAACAAATGAAGGTTGAAATCTGTTCTTTTTCATGCAAACCTACCCTTGGGATAACAGGAAGCGAGAGTAATTAAAGAAACACATAATAAATGTGAAAATGAATGATCTTATGATGATTATTGATGCACATGTGCTAGGGCTGAACGATTTTGTTAAATAATCTAATTGCGATTTTTTTTACCAATATTGTGATTGCGATTTAATATGCAATTATTTTTTAAAGCTCTTTATGTTCTGTATTATTCAACAAAGACAAGCTATAAATCATTGTATAGTATGACCAACACACTATTAGATAGATTAAACTCACCAACGACATTAAACACTGTCTACACCGGGCGCGAGCGGCAAAATATAATCAGTGACGCTGTGTACACTGGATGCGGCGCGGCGCGACCAGACTGTATAGGGCGCGACACGACAAACCCTGACATTAAACTGATGCCTTGTTCTATTTATGACGTACTGACACAAAGTTCAAATGATTAAAAATCGTGTTTTTTCATATCGCGATATTATTGCAAATGCAATTAATCGTTCAGCCCTAACATGTGCTGTTGAGCATATTATCGTGTTCAGAAGGGTGTGTGTGCATGGAAATGTAGACCGCATGGGGCGGCTGCTTTCGTCTGACCATCAAATCTGTGTGTGTGTGTGTGTGTCAGTCAGTTGTGTGTGTGTGTGTGTGTGTGTTTATGGCCTTGCAGCAGCCGGCAGGGAGGTTTGTCGACCACAACTGACATTGAGAGGACAGGGATGTCTTGGCATAGCATAGATCTGGCAGTGTGTTATTCAAACACACACACACACACAAACACTTGCACTCTCACACACGCACAGACACACACACACACACACACACACACACACACACACACACACACACACACACACACACACACACACTCACTCACTCACACACACACACACTAATCTATCTACTTTTTGTTCTTCAGTAGAACAGTGAAGAATATTTTTAGCTGAAACCATGCTCCTTTGTGATTCATTCAATGGAAGTCAGCAGCTGCCCGTCTTTAAGAATAAAAAAGCATTTCAGGGAACACTAAATTAATCCCGGTGGCTCCTGATGATATGTTGAGCTCTTATGAAGCGAAACGATCAGTCTGTGCAAGAAGCTGAACATTATTTACAACATGATGATGACCTGTGATCCAGAGCCTCAGACAAACCGTCCGGAATCATTCGTGAACGAATCATTCTTTTGAACCAGTTCTTTTTGGTGAACTAACTGAATCAGTTCATCAAATCGGACTGAATCATCTGAATCAGTCTGTGTCTCGAGCAGCACAGATTTACAATCAAAACTCGCTTTCAGACGCCTGAGAGTCGCTCCGACTGGAAATGAGCCGAAATAGCGGCGTATCTGATCTGTGATGAATGAACTGATTCAGCGCTCCAGTTCCTCCAACAGTCACTGAACTGACGAATCAGATCGACTCGAAGACCGACGAGCCGCTGATATGAGCATGAGTGAATGAAGTGTTTTTATGCTTTCTCATGGTTTATGTAAAAAGATGAGCTGATGAAGACACGTTTATTCACTTATTGGGTGCTTTAATAATATAATTGTATATATATGTGACATCATTGCATGATTACATAAACAAACTAGTGAATGTGTGAACCACTGTCTGAAAGAACCAGTTCATGGAAAAGAAATAGATTTCCCCGTTTGCCTGAGGCTCTGGATTACAGGAAATAATAATGTAAATAACGTTCAGTTTCTTGCACAGACTGATCGTTTTGCTTCATAAGAGCTCAATATATGGTCAGGAGCCACAGGGATTCATTCTTTTTTTAACTCTCAAAGTGCCGGTAGCCATTGACTTGCATTTAATCAATCACCAAGCACTACGGTTTCAGCTAAGAATCTTCTTTGCTGTTGTACTGAAGAAAAAAGTCACCTACATCTTCAAGGGTCTGAGGGTGAGTAAATTAATTTTTAGCAATTTTTTATTGTCGGGTGAGCTATCCCTTTAATGCACATTTGCCTGTAATATTGCAGGATAATGCTCTCTCTCTCACTCGCTCTCTCTCTCTCTCTCTCGCTCTCTCTCTCTCACTCTCTCTCTGTCTCTCTCTCTCTCTCACTCTCTCTGTCTCTCTTTCTCGCTCTCTCTCTCACACTCTCTCTCTCTCTGTCTCTCGCAGAGTGTGTCTGTGTGTGTGTGTGTGTGTGTGTGTGTGTATCACTACGGTCAGCCTTATCTGTCCATCCTCCAGATCAATAGTGATTGGCTGCTGTGATGGGATCAATGGGAGGGTGGCACCAGTCCAGATGGCCGCTCCATATGGCTTGTGTTTATGTCCGTCAGGAGAACCTGCAGCTAATGCCATCTGGACAGAATAGCACGTCACCGAGAGAGTGAAGCTGCAGCGGACACCAGGCTTTCTTCAGTCCTGTTTACTGTTGTGATTGATCACAGAACGCTTTCCTGCAGTGTTTGCTCCTGTGCTGGCTGTCTCCTTACCGTGTCACGTGGAAAGTCCATCCTCAAGTCAAGTCACGCTGATTTCTACAGCACTTCATACAAGCAGCTTCACAGTAATAAACAGGAAAATAACAGTGTTAATGTAAAATTCATCCGTTATGAAACAAATTCAATTTCAGCAATAAAGCAGCTCTACAGAAGACAATAGTTTCATTATTCAGTTCAATAACAGTGTCAGTGTTGCATCCATTTTTACGGCTGAACCTTCAAAAATTCATGTTTTTTTGTTTTTTCCACCTCAGGCCCAAAGCACATCACATTATTGACTTTGTGTCAGTAACAATATTTGTTCTGCAAATACCGCATGTTCTCAGATCAAAGGATTAAAAAAAATGCATTTATTTATTTAATTTATTATAATTAGCATCTTTACTGTAACTGAATGTTTCCTGCAGAAATGAGAGTCAGAATCAGATGCATGACCTGACTTCACACTACTGAGCACAAAACTAAGCATTTAAATATCATATAACCCGAGTATCACTGAAATGCTAGTATAGTTTGTTAATATTTTGAATTAGATGTTAGATTTTTAGTTAAAGCTTTAGTAATGCACACAGTTTTAGTACACTGTAAATCTGCTTTGACACAATCAGTATTGTATAAAGTGCTATATAAATAAAGGTGACTTAATTTTGTAAATTAAGCCTAATTCAAAGAGAATTTATTATATTTAGGCAATTAAAATCTAATGTTGAGACGTGCAAATTGGCTTATAATAAATTGTGACCCTGGAGCACAAAAGCAGTGTTAAGTCGCTGGGGGATATTTGTAGCAATAGCCAACAATACATTGTATGGGTCACAATTATCCATTTTTCTTTTATGCCAAAAAACATTCAGATATTAAGTTAAGATCATGTTCCATGAAGATATTTTGTACATTTCCTACCGTAAATATATCAAAACTTAATTTTTGATTAGTAATATGCATTGCTAAGAACTTCATTTGAACAACTTTAAAGATGATTTTCTCAATATTTAGATTTTTTTTGCACCCTCAGATTCCAGATTTTCAAATAGTTGTATCTCGGCCAAATATGGAAGAATATGGAAAGCTTATTTATTCAGCTTTCAGATGATGCATAAATCTAAATTTAAAAAAATGGTCCCTTATGACTGGTTTTGTGCTCCAGGGTCACAAATGTAAAATGTATTTCACTTTCAACATTTCTTCTGCAGCGCACACTAAACAACATTTATCCATCATCAGATTATTTTATGGCATCTTTTACCCCAGAGCTCTTCAGTGTTTCCTGTAACCGTGTCCTTCTGTTGCAGGGACTTCCTCCCGCGCGGCTCTGGGATCGTCACCCGCAGGCCCCTCGTCTTGCAGCTCATCAACTGTCCCACAGGTGAGCCGGCTAAACACTGCTCTGGGATCAGGTGCTTCTCGCTCCGAGTTTGACTGCAGAAACACATCAGAAGCAGCTGTAATAACGTGATTCAGCATTAACACTGCCATCTAGTGTAGCAGTCTGACCTTCCGTCTGAACTCTGTAAAGCCTGCTGTGTTTCTCTTAATGACCACTGATCAACATGATCACAACTTTACTGAGAAACCAGTTCCACACACAATCTGCTACACGCCTTCCTGATAGTTTAGAGTTTTATATCCAGCATATTACATTTACATTCACATTTAGTCATTTAGCAGACACTTTTATCCAAAGCGACTTACAAATAGAAGCAATCAAAACCAACAGAAAAGCAATGATATGCAAGAGCCGTGACAAGTCTCGGGTAGCCTAACGCAGTACACGTAGCAGGGTTTTTTTTATAATAAAAAGAAAAACAAGTTGATAGAATAGAAAAAGAATAGAAAATGCTAGTGTTATTGGGTCATTTTTTTAATAATAAATAAAAAGCAAACATGAAGATAGAGTAGAAAATGCTAGTGTTAGAGGCTCTTTTTATAAATAAATAAAAAAAGTCAAAAGACTAGAAAAATAATAGAAAATGCTAGTGATAGAGGCTCTTTTTTAAATAAAAATAAAAAGTCAAAACAATAGAAAATAATGGAAAATGCTAGTGTTAGAGGCTCTTTTTTATTAATGTTACTGGAGATATAGAGCGACGACTGATATTTATATCATTTTATGTCAGTATCTGCTCTACTACTGTTATAAAGATCTCATTGATTTACATTAGAAACATGTAAATATCAGCATCTGCAGCAAATTCATATTTTTGCTCCGTTTGAGTCTCTGAATAACTGTATCACTGTATCAGACAATATGAGCCATAAAAGCCTGATGATCAAATATGATGCTCAACAGAAAATACATATGCATATGATTTTTAAAATATGTTACATTAAAAACAGATTTTTCTGACTATTATTTTATATGTCAGGGTTAATTTGGAGACGTGCAGCTCAGTTTCTAGTGTAATGATGTGTTTTATAACGGTTTCCTCTCAGAATATGCCGAGTTCCTCCACTGTAAGGGGAAGAAGTTCACAGATTTCGATGAGGTGCGTCAGGAGATCGAGGCGGAGACGGATCGAGCCACAGGCCAGAATAAAGGCATTTCTCCCGTGCCCATCAACCTGCGCGTCTACTCGCCTAACGGTCAGATTACAGCATGAGATTAACACTCATTAACACACAAACTTCACAGTATGAGATATGATCAGTTTCAGTATATTCTGATGTTGGCTGGAATCAATGGTGGATCTATTGTGTGTTGTGTGCGCAGTGCTGAACCTGACTCTGGTGGATCTGCCGGGAATGACTAAAGTGCCGGTGGGAGATCAGCCTGCAGACATCGAGCACCAGATCAGAGACATGCTGATGCAGTTTGTGACCAAAGACAACTGCCTGCTGCTGGCCGTGTCGCCCGCTAACTCCGATCTCGCCAACTCTGACGCCCTGAAGATCGCCAAAGAAGTCGACCCGCAGGGTGCGTGCGATCTATAACACACATTAACTCTGGCACAACCACTCCGATTATGTCCACAAGTGTTATTGTGCTCAAATGCAGACAGCCTGGCTCATGTTAGACACTGGTGTAAGTGGGTTAAAAACTCAACCAAAAAATACATTATTCTGTATGATACGGAAGAGGATTAGGGTAAAAAAAGTCGAAATAAAATGTTGAATAAACTCATTAAATTACCAGAAACAAAGTCAAAATAAAATGCTGAGAATAAACTCATTCAATTACGAGAAAAAAGTTGTTTCGAAAAAAGTCGTGTTTAGAGAAAAAACACGTTAAATTTCAAGAAAAAAAGTCGAAATAAAATACTGAGAATAAACTCATTAAATTACGAGAAAAAAGTCGTGTTTAGAGAAAAAGTGTTAAATTTCAAGAAAAAAAGTTGAAATCAAATGTTGAATAAACTCATTCAATTACAAAAAAAACTAAAAAAAGTCGCGTTTAGAGGAAAAAACACGTTAAATTTCAAGAAAAAAGTCGAAATAAAATGTTGAATAAACTCATTAAATTACGAGAAAAAAGTCGTGTTAAGAGGAAAAAACACGTTAAATTTCAAGAAAAAAAGTCGAAATAAAATGTTGAATAAACTCATTAAATTACGAGAAAAAAGTCGTGTTTAGAGGAAAAAACACGTTAAATTTCAAGAAAAAAAGTCGAAATAAAATGTTGAATAAACTCATTAAATTACGAGAAAAAAGTCGTGTTTAGAGGAAAAAACACGTTAAATTTCAAGAAAAAAAGTCGAAATAAAATGTTGAATAAACTCATTAAAT